TCCTTAGATGCTAAATCGTTAAGAGGCTTTTGTCACCATTAAGAGGTCTTTTTTTTTTGCCAAACAACTCTAGCCTCTTAGCGATTAAGAGGTGTCCTCTTAATGTCACCATTAAGAGGCAACCAAACAGCCCCTAAGGATTTGTCGTTAAAATATTATAAGCTAATATCATTCTTCAATAGTTTCGTCATAATAGTTATTACGGTGTTTTGTGATACAAGATTTGTGTCTTACGTCACGTTAAATTTGTATTTAAAGATCAATATTAAAAAAATGAAAAAATCACAAGATCAATATTTAAAAATACAAAAATCATGAGATTTTATGGATCTTGTAACTCCCAATTAATAATATATGAGTTACAAAAAAAAATTCCATATACCTTTAACATTAAATTCTTAGATAGAGTAAAACCTAATACCAAGATTGATTGTGATTGGTTGAAAAGGTTCATAAAGTTAACACAATAATTTGGGTTAACATTTGAACTAAACTTTCTCTCTCTCTCTATATATATATATATATTAGAAGGATACCCACGCAATGCAACGAGATACTTCTTGATGTTAGTGTTTCGTTTTTTTTTTTGTCTCTGTTAATATTATACCACGGTTTTATGTGGTTTTGATAAAGTAATAATGTCTTTATGTTTGAATAAAATATAAATTCCAATATCTCATAAAAATTTGAAAAAATATATCGATATTTGTATTAAATTAATTATTTAAAAGTTCACGTTTTTTGTGTAATTTCTTTAATTCAATTTTTATTATAATTTAATTTAGATTAAATAACAAAGTAATTTATTTTCGGTTTAATAATATCATTTTTATAAAGATAATAATTAGGTGTTATGTTAGAATCGATGATTTTTCTAATTATATTTTATATTTTTTTAATTTAAAATTAGATATTTATCATGTATTTGATTATGTTTATCTGCAATTGGTTACACGAAGTTAAAATGGAGTTTTAATAAGTTGTACTTACGGATAATTTACTTGTAATCTTAAATTTAATATGCACCAATAAACAGTACTTGATGCATAAAAAATAGTTTTTAAGAGTTATTTGTCAAATGTTTTATAATATAGTGTATATATATATATATATATATATATATATATGGTATACAAATTTACTGCTACAAGTCATATATTGAAAACCGTTGTACTCTCACTGTAGCTCATAAGGTTGGAGGGTTGACATATTCGTTACGCCTAGAGGTGTAAATGGGTCGAGCTTTTAACGAGTTGCTCGAGCTTAATAATTCTCGAGCTCAAATCAATCTCGGACAAAAAAATAAAGCTCGTTCAATTTAACGAGTTGAGCTCCATAACACTGATGTTTGACTCGATTCGATCGAAAGCTCTATTAAACTCTACGAGTCGAGTCGAGTCGAGCAGAGTCATTCGAGTATACACTTTTTTGAGTCAAAACATATTTATATGTTTACGAATAATATGAAAATCATCAAGCTTGAGCAAATAAGCGAGTTAATCAATCATGAACTCGAGCTTAAACATTGAAAAATTATTCGAGTTCGAGTACAACTTTGAAAAGTTAGTGGAGCTCAAGCATGATTTTATTTTTTTGAATTGAGCTCGAATAACTTGCTACTCGACTTGACTCGACTCGTTTGCACCCCTAGGGACGCCAGGCCTTAGACCATTTAGAACACTGCTAACATTAAAGCATCTATAATAGTTACTCTAAAGGGGTGTTTGGTACACTAGATAGACCATAACAGAATAAGGATCACTGTTTTCACATTTGACATGATTTCTATATGGAACAAACAAAAACATAGTAGAAAAAGTGAAACATACCTATTCTACCCATAACTCGTGGAACAAGGTGGAACAGACCTATATTTTACCAACATAACTCTAAAATAAAACATAATTCTCTTCTAAAACATCAAATATTCTCTTTCTTTATTTTTTTATTCATTCTTTAAATTTTATTTATTGTATTTTATGTTCTTTAAATTTCACTTTAGTGTATTCAAAATATTTTTTATACGTTTCTATAATTTGATTAATTTATTAAATATTCGTAATAAACTTTTTTTCTGGTGTCATTTTAATTGTCTTCATGATAACTTTCCAATGACATATTTTGTTATAAATACATTTATTTTATTATAATTTCATACATTACATAACTTAATCAAAATATATAAACAATTCATTTGGGGTAAATTGGTCATTTTATTTGTTTTGTTATGTTTAGTTCTGTCTTACGAAACATCGAACAATTGTTCTGTCCTTTCTTGTTTTGTAACACCCCAATCCATATTTGCATAAAATTCACATACTTCATATAATATACAAATATTACACATTGGTCCCAATATATACAAATTACTACATACAAAAGTAGCTACAAACTTTTTGTTCACGTATAGTACATAACTTGTATAACACATTCTCAAGTACATGCACGTAATCAACTTCCCAAAATTTCCACAGATGTAAAGCAATAATAATCCCCTTCACATCTTCCGGTTTCCTTTACCTTCCACCAATATCCGTCCTATAATGCACATTTTTAAACACAAAATGAGGGTTAGACTACTAAGTCTAGTGAGTAATTCCCTTGATTGCTGTTACAAGGTGAAAATCATCAAAACACTTTTGGAAAGCCCATATTTGAAAAGACAATATGTAACTAATGATTATCATAGCAAACCTCATTTTTAGTCGCATTATATAGATGACACAAATAATTCTCCATAACATAAGAATGAAACGGACCCATCTTATCGCATTCCAAGAATATGATATCCTTTTTATGGCATCAAACGTATATAAATATACAGTTTGTCGCATCCAATAGATGCGATAACCCCTCTTTGTCACATCCAACTGATGCGATGAACTAACTTGTCGAATCTGATACATGTGATAAACCCCAAATGTCGCACCACAAGGATGCGATAAAACATTGTCCTCGCACCACACTTGTGCGATAAACCAATTCCTCGCACCATAAGGATGCGATAACCTCTTTTGCTGCATCACACTTGATGCGATCACCCAAACTTATTGCATCACACATATGCGATAACACAAACTCATCGCATCATATAGATGTCATAACAACAGTTCATATGATCAAAATTTCATATTAACAAACAATTGGTTATGTCACCCTTATCCCAATATACATCTCTCCTAATTATGCGACCCTTATCCCAAAATACACTTATCCTGATTATATCACCCTTATCCCAGAATACACCTCTCTTGATTATGCCACCCTTATCCCAGAATACATCTCTCCTGATTATGTCACACTTATTCCAGTCAGTTGGTAATAACATATCAAATCTCAATTTTATGCTAAAAATAGCATATAATCAATTTTCAAAACACCCCACATATGAAATAAGAAACCATATCATTCTTTCACCAAAAGCAAATGAAATAATGATTTTTTAAAATCAACTCACCTTATAATCACAAGGAGCTAAAAGTTTTATGGGAAACAATAAATTAGTTAAGAACACGTAATAATTTCTTATTCTTCTTCGTCTGTTTTGTTTCGAACCAGAGAACCATAAATATCACACCAATTTTTTTATTTTCTTTCCAACCATCCAAAAAGGTAAAGAATAATGTATATATATATATAGGAGTGATCATATGAAAACCGCCCTCATTTATGTAAACCGTGCAAACCACCTTCATCTGTCGATTTTATTGTTTAATCTTATGAAATTTTTTCATGAAATTGTTTAATCTTGTGAAATTGTTTCATATAATATTTTTTTGATGAAGTTGTTTCATATATGGTTGTGAAATTGTTTCATATAATACTTAATGAAACTGTTTCATRTATTTCTYTAACATTAATGAAAYTGTTTCATGTATTTCTCTAAAMTTAAAATAATGAAGATGATAATATCTATGATTAACACCCTCCACAATAAAAATGATTAATCAACCTCTCATAATTACAAAAAAATGAACAAAATGAAAAAATATGATTGG